AATGGTTACTGTTACTCTTGCCTTCCTTCCTCCTGCCTTCATGTTGAAGCACCAATTGTGGTCTGCTGGTGTAGACCATCTCCTTGAAGGTTTTTAACAGAGCCCTGCCGCTCACTGGATAGTTTTCCTTTTTCAGATCATTCTCTGTAAACCGTAGAGATGGTTGTATGGGAAAATCCCTGCAGATCAGCAGTTTCTGAAATACTCAGACCAATTCGTCTGGCACCAAAAACCATGCCACGTTTAAAGTCACAGCCATGTAATTGGCTAATTAGATATTTAACAAGCAATTAACCAGGTGTATGGCTAATTAAGCGGCTGATGTGTTTAAATAGAAACTGAATGACTAGCACAAGACACATGAAACTAACCTCAGCAGAGAACTAGGACAAAGACAGGAAGTAAAACAATAGAAAAAAAGCAAAGAAAATAATTACCAAAATAAAGCAGGAACTCTGTGTAACAGCCAGGAGAAGCATATGTAAAGAACTAGGGGATGAACAACATGAGGGTAGAAACAATAAGGACAGTTATCCTGTAACACATAAACAAGAATCAGTGTTTTAAGAAACATGGCGTATTCATTATTATTCAATATTCATCACCTACGCTGCCAACAACTTCTGTGCCTAGTAGATGAAATCTGGAACACTTGATGAAAAGTGCACTTCCTTTTACTGCATGACGACACGCCATCATTAATAAATGGAGCAGACCGGAGCAGAGCAGACCTCATGGACATGGGGTGCAGGTGAACTATTTCAGCCCACCTCATCCATCATTAAAACAAGCCACTGTAAAGACAGACATGTTGGAATTATCAGCTGATGGATGGGTGGATGGAAAGACGTAGCTGATGGCAGGTGGTCAGATAGATCCATTATGAGATTTATGATGAAACATTTTAAAACCCATAGACAAAGTCATGACTGCCATCATGCTATGTGATACCAATGAGACACACGTTACAGGTATCAGGATCAGATACAGCGTTCAAGTTCAAGCCTGCATTCCAGTTTATCTATTATTAATGGATGTACAAGCCAGGCCAAAACATGAATCCACTGAAAGCACAGCTGTTTTACACGTGAGCTGTGGGGCGTAGCCAGGTGTGCCGGAGTGTCTTAAAGAAATATCCACACGCCACGACCAACGGGGTCGTACCCCGTGCATATGGAACATGTAACGTGTGGAGAGATAGTCTCGATATGCTAGAGACCGACAGGTGCAGCACACATTCTGTCCGTGTCCAACACTCAAACTATAGCCAGCTTCCTTAATATTTTACTATCCACGCTGCAGCGCTCCTCTTTATTGCTGTGAGTTATCTTGAACCAAGCGATGCCGTAACCATCTGCGTGTGTGATGTTGAATTAGGTAGAGGGGATTAAAGCCTTGGAGGGACACGAGTCTTAATTAACCCGCAGATCTTCAATTCCGTGCGTTCAGCAACAGAAAAGTCTGAACTCTACCTCAGTCTTTTTCATTATTTATTTGGTGCTCAATCCTTTTAAATAAAAGAATTCAAGGTTTTCCCTCTGCACTTTATCTCACTGCAAGACAGCTCGACTGGGATCTGTTCTGTAGAAAAGATATATCTACTGTATAGGAATGTAGAGAACATATATGTGGTTCACGTCTGGTGTTTCTAGCTAAGTTGTTGGAAAGGTTATATGTTAGATCTTAGCCATGTTAAAGCTAATCACTCAGACTACCAGGCTTCTATTCTGTCTGTCAAACTCTTTCTTCTTCACATGCTTCACATTCACAGAGTTCACAGAGACAGAAAGCACACAGCACTACACCATGGACTCAAAATAGTTTATATTTGATGATGATAAATATTTCACATACATACATAGAGCTGCCATAAGACAGTAAAACGTTCAGACATTAACATTTTTGCAGTATTTTTACATACCTGATGTCACAAACTCTTACATTTTACATCACAGTTACATTATATTCATTATATTCCAGTGAAAAGTTACTTTGTTTGTACTTTTGGTTCAACAGAAAGGATCTTTTGGCTTATTATTGTTACACAGCATATCCTCCCTCTGCATGCAGAAAGGCAACAAGTAGATTTACCATCATATGAACTTCACTGATTATCACACCTGAGGCACATGTGTGTGTTCATTTGTCCTGCTGTCCTTGAGAGGAAAAGGCTACAGAGCAGGCAAATGTTAAACTAAAGTCGGTGCGGGTGCTATTCTGAGCCTCTGCAGAGGAAAAACAATATAAAGATACACATCTGATGATAAGAGCATACATGACACAGAACTGGAACAAAATACAACTGTGGTGTGCAGGATAGAGGCGATAAGCCACATGCAGCTTACAACATGGCAAACAGATCTGAGATATGTGGATTTAAAGAATGCATGCAAACTTGGTCTGTTTCTAAAGCAGACCAAACAATCTTTTTTTATTATTGAGCTAATGGTACCGACATGCTGGCTGCTGCAGGCTGCTGCTGCTGCCTTCATTATAAAAACCATAACAGCAAAAGCGGGTAATTTAAATATGATGTTCACTGAGATAAACAGGTGTAGATCAACTAATGGAAACCGGTGAGGTAAAAGTGTGGAAGATTTAATCAGCTTGAAACTTCATTACTTAATTAAATCATGCAAGTGGAAAACTAAAAAGAAACCTGTTCCGAGTACTGATCAGCTGCTGGGACTGATGTATTTGACCCTGCAGTGTTTTTGTAGGAGGAAACTATCAAGCAGTAGGTAACAGAACCACAACTAACCTTAAGGCTCTATTTTTAAATTGCTGTTTCAATTATAGACAGAGCCTCTGAATAAAGTACATGTGAACTGTTTTGCATATTATAAGCTGCAGAGAATGCAGAGTTTAACTGGTTCTGTTATGGCTGCAAGGTTTCCCCAAAACCTATTAAACAGAGAGCGCATTCAAACTGAAGATGTGAAAACGTGAACCTCGTGGAAAACACTCCAGCCGCTGCTGCCTCTAAAGCCGAGCTCATCGGAGCTTTTACACGGAAGCATGAAGGAACTAAACCAAAGGTTAGCACGTTTTCCGTGCATTACATAACCTTTGCCCCATCCAGCAGCACATTTCTATGTGAGTGGAGACACTAAAGTGGGTCTGACTTTCTGAGAGACAATAGGGAGTCGTTCTCTTTTATTGACTTCTTTGTAGCCATTAGTTGATGTACAGTTTTATATAAAAGTCGGGGCATCCCTGAGAGATGTCGTCAGCTACAAGTCATCCTTCACACATGAATTGTCAGCCCGTCTTCTTGCAGATCATTTTGTGAGACAGGGCTCACACGGCATGTTGTTCAGGTTGAGAGACTGCAGGGCTGTTCCAGAGGTTTCAGCTGATGTTCCTCCTGTGAGTCGAACTTCACTGCAAGACGTCTGCATTCAGAATCTGCTGATTTTTGGCAGAATCCATTGTTAACTTTGGATTTCTGAATCACTGGCCCGAATCCACTTAAATAAGGGCAAACCAGTCTTAAATTAAGCTTTACTAAGAAGCAAATCATTCATTAACCTCCTAGGACCTGGTGTCCACATATGTGGACATCACATTTTGGGTCGTCTAGACCAAAATACTAGATTTTGCTCTACAAGGGCCTGAAATCCACGTAGGAGGACATTATACTGCCACTGTTCTATTGAAATTTAAAACAAATGTCCTCATATGTGGATCTCATTTTATTCAGAACCAAAAGTCAGGTTTAAAAAAATAATAATAAAAATTTTACATTCATCAGGTCCCAATCAGCCCAAATAGCAAAGAGAAATTAAAAATGCTGCTGTGGAAGAGTTCAGGTCTTAGGAGGTTAAATATTGCTAGAATTTGCTTTTATAATATTTTAAAAACTGACCCTAGATTAAATGAAAATGAAATATTAAGCTCTGTCTGAAAGGGGTCTTTGTTTTTGATTTTGATTTCTATGGTTTCGCTTAAATGTCATTCAGACTGTGGAAATGATGAGCTGGAAGCATTTTCGGTTCTTTTCACAGCATCCGCCTGTTTTCAGTGCATCGGCTAACTTCAGTTTTAGACCCTCAGTTAGTATCTTAGACACGATTTTAATGAGCTATTTTTAAGTGTTTTACAGGTAAATCAGTGCATATAAGCCTGATTATGTTTTAAAATGAGGAAACAAAATTTGAAAGACACATAATTGATCTGGAACAACGAGACCGGAAGAAAAAATAATAATTTTTGCACCACTTCACCTCTTGGACTAAAGCGAAGAATCAGCCACCTGCAGTTAGACTGAGTGACCTATTAAAATCACAGCGAGTGTATTAATGAGCCAATCAGAAAAGGAAATGATTGTTAAAAGAAAAGTTATTTCATGTTGCTGAAAATAAAATCACCTTTGATTTTAACGATGGGCTTGATAATGAAGGGATTTGACTTAATGATGAAGTTTAAGAAAACTGAACACAAACAATTGACCTTTTTTAAATATCTGTTAGCAGCACACTTATTATTTACCATCTAGTCAATAACCAAGGTAAATATATATATTACACACATACATAATTGTAAAGGCTATATAAATGCAACCCATTATGTGTATGTATATATATATATGTATATATATAATATGTGATATATATATGTATATATATATGTATATATATATATATTATACATATAGTATATATATTGTATATATATATATATGTATAGTATATAGTATATATAGTATATGTATATATATGTATATATATATGTATATATATGTATATGTATATATATATATGTATATATATATATATATGTATATAGTTTGTTTTATATGTATCTATATATACTTATATATGATATATAGTATATATATAGTATATGTATATGATATATTTATATGTATATATATGTTATCTATATGTATATATATATATATATGTATATATATATATTGTATATATTATAGTGTATATAGTTGTATAGTGTGTTGTGATGTGTGTGTTGTATAGTGTGTGTGTGTGTATATGTGTGTGTGTGTGATATATATATGTGTGTGTGTGTATATATATATATATGTGTGTGTATATATATAAAATCTTTCCTCCTTTTGAATGAGGAAAAGATGAGCAAAAAACAGCTTAACCTAAATACACTGGCAGAAATTGCAATAGCACAAAGATTCAGTAACACTGTCCCCTCGAGAAGTTTAGTTGCCCTGAAGTCTGCTGTGTTTCCAATGCCCGTAACACATTTTGCAGCTGAGGAAAAGTGCAAACCATCACTGCCCACATTTTTCATATTTCTATGTATACTGTGTGGAGACATGTACTGCACGTCAATCAAACCACCATACATAACACACAGATTGATGGCCTGTGTAGATTACTCCATGTACATTCTGAAGCTTTGGCTTGGCTCTCGATGCCAACGGCAAAAATCAATTTTAGCTGTACTAACACACCAGAGAGAACGACAACCTCGCACACATGCAAAGGCACAGACAAGCTCACATATCATGTATCATGAGAAACAGTCCAGTGAAGTGAGGAGTGTGAAGTGGGAGAGCCATCAGTCAGGCAGCAGGGTCCAGTGGAGGCCTACCAGTGCAGGACTGGTTGTTACGGTTGTTACAGAAGCACATATTTGTCGTTAGTGAGCTGCCAATATGAGTAATGCATCCTCCTTACAATTTCCATGCCCACTACACTTCAGGAGACACGTAGCAAAATAAGGACAAATGTACAGGCAAATGCATTTAGGTGCTAGGGCATGATTAAAGATGCTAATGCATGAATTTTGGCTTTACGGCGTTTACAGGTCACTCGGTTGGGTCTCTTTGACACTAGGATAGTATGAACAGTAAAAGAAGTGAACAAACACACCAAAGAAAAACAAAACAAACACACTATTTGACTTTGATTTGTCCTTACTCTGGCACTAAACATTAAACGTTATCAACACTGCAGCGTGTTGTAAAGGGCGTGAAGTCATCAGAGTCCTCGAAACTTACTCAAACACTCGGGCTTTTGTGTTAGTCACTGTAACAGCCATGCTCAGCCCAGCTTGGCTCTTGTGTCTTGGCTGTAAAACAGGACCTGGAGGAGGATGGCGACATCAATCAGGATCTGGACTGAACCGCACACCCAGAACTGCGCCGGGCTTTCATTCATCACAAAATAGGTGGTCTTGAAGACGTCACCAGCTGTCCACAGCAGCACCATTTTCACACTGGAGCAATGGAAACACAAAGAGACAAGTGTGAGCTTTCCTCAAAGCACTGACATTTTGCAAACTGGCTTTCTTGCTCAGCATTAGACAGAAGATAGATGCTAGTGTGCCAGCATAACTGGAGCCAGTTAGCATAACTTAGCATAAAGCTAAACGTCAAACCGAGAACAGTTAGTCTGGTTCTGCTGGATTGTACCTACCCGCTTATTAACCCATCACTCATAAACATGATATAAATCATTTGTTAAATTTGTACTGAAAACAACAAGTGTAAAAATTACAACTCCACGTTAGGAAGGGTTATGAGTGAGAAATGTATTGACTGGCAACCAACGAAGACTCCAGGAAGCACCAGTATACCCTCCAACATGCCCGCTGTTAAGGCGCAGGAAACTGCTGCAATGAGTATTGCGCAGTCTGATGTTGGGGTGATTTTGCTGGGACATCCACTCCAGGGAAGATTGTGGCATTGTATTATTAACACACAGCTTAATATTCCAGACCAGCAAACTGCCCAACCCTCTGCTTTATAGAGGTGGTCACATCAGCTCATGATTAATTAATCCAGTGCATTTGATTAGTAGCATCTAGCTGCTACACAGCCTCTTAACTTCATAATTATGGAAATAATAAGTCAAGACAACACAGAATTTAATGAAAAATTCTTCTCACGTGACTCTAACCTAAAATCATACATGTCAGTTTCACAGTTCAGCTGTACAGATGCAGCAGATGATTATTCTGTCAGTTGGCCTTGGAGTTGCTTATTATCACTAACTAATTTGCTGACTTCAGGTGAATATTTATCGCACAGGCATAAAAGGAGGGAATGCTTTTTCAAGCAAACAAGTTTTTATTTCCCAAAATGTTAAATTATTACCTTAAAATGCTTTCTTTTATACAGCACACAAACAATCCTCCTGTTGATTAGGCCTCCCAAAGAGTCCAAAATAACAGCACTATCAGCCAAAAGTAGCTTTTTGTTTTCATTTGAAAAGTTGAAACTGATTTTTTTATTTTCTTGATTAAGTTCCTGCTGTCTAAGAAGCAGCAGGAGAGGCAGTGAAAAATCATTAGTCAGAGTGAAGTTTAGTCTAAGCTTCTGATTGATCAGAGCAAGTTAGAGAAAGCAAAGGAAAGACTGTCGGAGACACGGGGCTGAAAAGAAAGACTCGAGTCATCAGCCAAGCTGGTAGCCTGCTCCTAACACGGGACCTTGAAGAAGTCATCTGAAAATTTGCGAAAAGCACAGTACAGAAATCACCGTCTCATCACTGCTTATTGCACTCTTCCATCAGTTATTCACACTGCCTTCTCAAGCTTTTGCCTCCTTCCCACCCTTTTCTCCTTTTTGTTGCAGTCTTGACTCATTTACTGTCAAGCTCCTTCAACTCTTACCCTTCATGCTCTATGCTCTTACAGCACCTCACTCCCACTCCACCTACTCTCTGCTCTCTCCTCTATTTTTTATTCTTTCTTTGTGAACAGCAAAGACCCATAGGCATGAATGTAATATGAGTTTATTCTTTTTATTAGAGCTGGCTGGGCCTGGCCAGGACAATCAGTCATCAGTGAGACATACAGTAAAAGGGTCACACGGGAGGGGGTGAGGGAGTGCAGAGAGACAGAGACAGAGAGGCTGCGGAAAACAGAATTCATCCAGCATGCAGCAAGAAAGAGACGGGGCTAAGACGAGCCAAACCACCAGAGAGAAAGTGAGGGATCTCTGCGAGCGGGACGGAGACCTCTGCGAGATCGCTATGGATGATGAGTGTGTGTCGAGCACAGGAGGCCTAATGACCGTGGGGACGGCAGTCCTGCACTATCCTTCAGCTACCCTTGCAGAGCGGCATCAAACTCTCCCCTGGGCTCCCTTCAGGCTGATGAGGAACACAAACAAGCTCGCCCTGCCATAGAAATTATTCAAGATATGTGTAACTGTACCAAATGTAGATGGTTCAGGTTATATGTCTTTGTGACTCTTCTGCACAGTGACGCATTTTAATGATTCAATTTGAGCACCTTTTAAATAATAGCTTCATTTAAAGGTGACTTCCTTTAAACCAAGTGTTCTTATTTTGACATACAGGCCAGAGGAAGTGAAAATGATCTCAGCCATTTCTAACATAAGAACCGGAAGAATGCACGAGTCCACTGTAACCAGAGGACAGCATCAGTTCACTACGCTACCAATGACACACGAATGGTTAAACTTTCTCATTTTTAATTCGTCACAGATCAGCTGCAGATGACAGTCTCGCTCCTATGCATGCTCGTAAGATCACAAAGGATCCTACCAAAGGTCTATTGTTACAATGAACTCAGATGACTCACTCATATTAGAGCGGTGATAATCCAACCGCGACTCGATTCCTTTGGACACGTTTATGTCTGGAGAAATATGTGACTCTTTTTATGCTCTGATATAGCCTGAGTCTCTCTGGAAACTGTTTCCAACTTCATTACTCTATAGGCAGCTTTTTTGAAACCCCTAACTTATCTGAATGGAGAGAGTAATAGCTGTAATTTAAATCATCAGCAGGACATAAAAATTGCACATATAGGTACTGATTAAAAAAAATGCTTTAAAAGTTTGGGAATTTTTTGTCTAAAATACATTTTACAAGGTTACACTTTTACTATGCATATGTAAAGTTACGCAAAATCTATGGCACAATCCAGCATTCAGTCAGTAACGAGAAGTCTGCCAGCCATGCATCAGTGCAACAACGTGCTCTTCTAAAAGGTTTGTCATTCAGGCTGTTGACTGGATCTGAAGGATTCTTCACATTTCTATTGAGTTTTTTTCTCAGCAAAGTTTCAAAGTCACAAAATGTCTTTTATTACCAACTTCACTCTGAAAGCTTCAAAAACATTCCAGTGTCCAGCTGACTTGGCTTCATCCAGTTTAACCAGCTCAGGCTCATAAGAACCAGGCTATTCCCACTGCTCCCACAGGCTGATCAGGGAGTGTCAGCGATGTGTTACGCTCCCCTAACAATTTAAACTTTCGGGGTAAACATTCAACGGTTTGATTGAACTGCTCCAAAAATAAGCAAGCTAAGGAATTTTAAATCATTGTGCTTTTACTTCACTCTCTCTCTCTCTCTCTCTCAGAGACGCCAGTATTCCTCAGGGAAAATACTTGGTTTTTGTTCAGCTGAAGTTCTTTTTCTTCAAAGAAGGCTCTTGAGTGACGCTGAGATTTCTTTTGCTGTTTTTTTCCTTTCACTGAGCCACTTTTTCCCTTTTCTCCATTGTCCTGCACAACTGCCATCTTTGTTTTTACTGACTCTGTCTTTCCCTTTACTCTGCTCCTCTCCATAGCATAAAAAGGAACAAAGTGTTATCTCATTATTAGTATTTAAAAAGACTTAAAAGACTTATCAGCTGCTACCCTGAACCATTTGCACTGTCTGGTCCAGGTTTGGCCCAGAGCTGGTATTTAGCCAGCACTGCTACCTGACTTCTGGCATGGTGAGTGGTATGTCATCCAGATATGGCCAGGCCTGGCATAGATGGCACTGTCTATGTGATGGCATGCCACATCTGGCTCGATTGTGGTTTGGTTTATGTGGCCAGGCTCATAGAAAATCTATCTGGCATCAAGCTGGTACTTCTGACTGACTGGTGTCATGTATCTCAATGATGGCACTGTTTATGTTCCTATTTTCCTATTTTTGTTAGAAGACCCAAATGCCATGTTGCAATACTATACTGCTATGGTAGCCAACGTTTCAAATGCAGGTTTGTGAGGTTACACTTTATTATGTACTATTATGTTCTGGCACATGTTGTTATTACATGGCTTGATTAAGGTACACATTAGGCTGACATCTGGGGCCAGAACTGAAACTGTTCTGGGCCAGCAGTGTGTCTGCAACTGGCCTTGTGCTGGCCCATGTGTAGGCCACCTCTGGTAAACCAGATCTGGGCCACCAAAGGGCCGTCATTCTTTGCGGTATGTGGGCCATGTGTAAGCACATTGTGTGGGCCAGATCTAGGCCATACCAATTTTGCTATCTGGGAATGTGTAGCCATGTTCAGAAGGATAATATGCCATGTCACACGGCTCAAATCATATCAAACTGGTTTTCTGAAGAAGAAAACGAGTTCACTTCACTCAAATGACTTTCACAGATCTCAATCCAATAGAGCACCTTTGGGATTTGGTGGAATGGAAGACTTACATGATGGAGTTGTAACTGAAAAATCTGCAGCAAATGTGTGAGGCGATTATGTCAGTGTGAACCAAAATCTCTGAGAAATGATTCCAGCACCAGTGTTGGTCAAGTTACTTGAAAAAAGTAATCAGTAACTAATAACTAATTACTTCCCCCAAAAAGTAATCCCGTTACTTTACTGATTACTTATTTTCAAAAGTAATTAATTACTTAGTTACTTTTTAAAAACACGATTTACAACCTGAATAGGTGATAAAGCGATAGATCTTTCAGCCCAATTCTACTTTTTCTGCATAATCCATCATACAAAATGTAATCAAATGGAAAAGTCTCTTTTTAAAACTTGTTTTATTAGTTTTAATCTTTTAACTTTATGCATCAAGCAAAAATTTAATTATCTGCAACATTCTCTGACTGGAAGAAATTAGTTTAACATTTAAACCTATTTTCTGCACATTCCAGCACATAAAATAAAATATTTTTTGTGTTTACACTCAGTCTTTCAAATAGATGCAAGTAAAACACAGCAGAAAATAAATAAAGTCAAAGACTCAGCGGTCCTGTTGCTCTATTTTCACCTGTAAAGCAGGAGTGGGGTAGGCGGAGGGTTACCCTGGTGCAGGTGTGCCGCGGTCAGTGGAAGAATCCGCGAGTTTCTCTGTGAGTTTCCCATTACGTCGTAGCTACTCGGTGCTTGTTGGAAGTTTAGGGGTTTTTTCGCTGTAAAAAGAAGTTTTCTTCCCACGCACAGCGGACACTATGTTTTTGTCACTTTTTATGGAATCAAACTCAAAGTAAGGTCAGTCTTCCACGCTTTA